TTGTCGCCCTGTTGATGACGTCAGCTACGTGGTTTCGTCGAGCGCGCTTTAGTCGAACGCGGTTTTGTGGTGGAACCGCAGTCATATACTTAATTCCTTCCTTCTATCGTTTTTTAAAATTACAACTTTGAGGATCTCTAATGGTTTGGCACCCAAGGCTTTGCAAATGTGCACGCAGCTCTAGGTCACACACACACACCCTCATTGTTCTTATGGGCTCTTTATTCCCCCCCCCCCGCTTACTTTGTAGCCATTCTCCTTGGCAAACTGCAAGATAAGGGAACGGCGTTCCTGTGTGGTGTTAGTGGCATCGAAAACCTAGGTAATGGAGAAGAACAAGGCAACTGAATTGGCACGTAGCCTGAAATAGGTGACCGTAGGATTAGATCTACATGGGCTTTTGCCATCTTACCGCCACTTGTCCCTCTTCCATACTCAGGTAGATTTGGACATCCCGAAGAGCTGCTAACGCACACTGCCTAAAAAGAGATAGCAAGGAAGAGATCACACACGATGATCCATTGCTGCGACAGCACCAAAATAAATACAGTAAATAACAACCAACCACCACATTAACAAAAAACATATATAAGAATATACACATAACACTTACAGTAGGATCACTTGAGCCTGGCCATTTGTGCCTTGAGTAAGAACTTTATTTGATGGCCCATTTGTTTGTTCAAGGAGGTAGCTTGGTTATCCAAGCTACCTCCTTGAAATTTGAGGAGATAGGCTAGAAAGAGAATTGGTGGTATTGGAGAAGACTGCTGAAAATACTGTGGACAGCCAAGGGAACAAACAAATGGGCCATCAAATAAAGTTCTCACTCACGGCACAATGGCCAGGCTCAAATGATCCTACTGTAAATGTTATGTGAAGGAAAAGGTAGAAGGAAAGAGATGGAACGAATGGCCATAATCAAGGTGGATGGCTTCAGTTACACAGTTGGAAGACCTGAGGTTACGGTCAGATGGTCATGGAGGAAACCAATCTATGTGCCCACTAACAGTCAACACCAACTCCAGATGGCACATCATCAATCAATCAAATTATGTTTCGCATGTTGAATCTTTGAAACATTATCTTTGTATTAGCAGCCATGTTTTTTTTTTTTATTAAATTCAAGAGGTAGTGAGGCTCATCCTCTAGAGCAGTGTTTCTCAACCTTAGTGACTTGAAGTCCACAGGACTTCAAGTCACCAAGGTTGAGAAACACTGCTCTAGAGGATGAGCCTCACTACCTCTTGAATTTAATAAAAAAAAAAACATGGCTGCTAATACAAAGATAATGTTTCAAAGATTCAACATGCGAAACATAATTTGATTGATTGATGATGTGCCATCTGGAGTTGGTGTTGACTGTTAGTGGGCACATAGATTGGTTTCCTCCATGACCATCTGACCGTAACCTCAGGTCTTCCAACTGTGTAACTGAAGCCATCCACCTTGATTATGG